AAGGAAGGACTTTACCTGCGAGAGTTACTTGAGGAAGCAAAGATTGCGACCCTGCTCGTCTTCTCACTCCTCTGTGACAACCAATCTGCGATCAAAATCGCGAACAAGGACGGCTTCGCCAACCGAACCAAGCACATCGCCCTGCGATACTTCTTCGTCAAGGATGAAATCGCAAAGGGGAGACTTCAACTCAGTTACTGCCCTACAACAGAAATGGCTGCAGACTACCTGACGAAGAAACTGGCGAAGGCAAAGTTCGATTACTGCATGCTGCTGACTGGGCAGACAAACGTCACCGGATCTGAACACGTCAGCACTCCAGAAACGAAGGGGAGTGTTGGAAATACCTCAAGGACTTAAGCGTTTCTGAAGTGTAACACCACACTCGAGAAAGGGCGTAACTCTTAGAAACTTAGGACTCAAGGTTCTTAAACTTAGGAGGCTAGGTTGGCTAGAATACTAGGAAGAAGGCCGCCATGGCATGGCGTGAGGAAAACGGATCTAGGAAGGGAGAGAATGTCGAGAAGAAAGAGTATTGGATTAGGAAGAGAGGGGAGTACAAGGAGGGGTTTGTACCCCCTACAGAAAGGTTCAGTAACAACCTACCAAGCCTATATTAAATTATAACTTATATAATTTTAACACATCCCCTAGGCTTGGTAGTGTCAAGCCCACGCACACCCCCACACCCACACCCACACCCCCTAGCCCAGCACCCCCATTCCCAGCAGGAGCCGCAACGACTCCGGAAGAGGGTAGGTCTCACGGCCCCTTGAGACAGCAGTGGCGGCAGCAGCGACAGTGACGACGGCGGCGGCGGCGGCGGTGTGCGGCGGCTCCAGGCCTGCGGCAACAGCGGCGGCGCCGGCGGCTTGAACGACAGAGGCTGGTGCGGCGGCCCCCGCCCTCTCGGCGGCATGTCCTGTCTCCTCGGCGGTGGAGAGGTCCCTCACATGGCAGTCATCGGCTGCAGCAAGAAAGGGGGGGATGCAGGGGAAGCAGGTGCAGGTGGGGGGGGGAGGGGAGGGGGCGGGGCGAGGCGAGTCTTCAGCGACGCGCCATAAATGGCGCGGCGCTTACTGGTGGGAGGACGTCATCCTGAGGGACGCCCGTCTGTGGCGAGCGGGCGGCAGGCCCGGCGACGCCACAGACGTCGCTCGGCCGGCCGCAGCCCGACGATGCCGTCAGCTGCCGCAGACGCCGCCACAGCGCACCGTCAATGTCGCAGCGGCGAGGCGGACGGGCGACGGCTGCACCAAGGGGCCGTCGCGACACCTTGGCGCCGCGACGGTAGGCAACGAGGGACCGTCATGACATCTTGGTGCCGCGACGGCAGGCAACAAGGGGCCGTCGCGACATCCTGGCGCCGCGACGGCAGGCAACAAGGGGCCGTCGCGACAACTTAGTGCCGCGACGGCAGGCAGGCAGAAAACCGCGAAGGCTGCGAATGCAGTAGGAGTACGCAACGGGAACGTAGGGAGAGGGTCCGGTGGACACGACCGGCTCTGATACCATCTTAGAAACTTAGGACTCAAGGTTCTTAAACTTAGGAGGCTAGGTTGGCTAGAATACTAGGAAGAAGGCCGCCATGGCATGGCGTGAGGAAAACGGATCTAGGAAGGGAGAGAATGTCGAGAAGAAAGAGTATTGGATTAGGAAGAGAGGGGAGTACAAGGAGGGGTTTGTACCCCCTACAGAAAGGTTCAGTAACAACCTACCAAGCCTATATTAAATTATAACTTATATAATTTTAACAGTAACGGGTACGCGAGTCAACGGAGGTTACACGAGGGGGTGGACAAACAACACGAAAGGACTCGAAGGGTCGCAACTGGAGGTTGCGACTGACAGTTACAACTGCAAAGATGGTAACAGAAGCGACAATCGAGTCGCTGTGCGACTCGATAACCGCTCTTTCAACTGTATTCTACAACTGCTTTACTTTCCTAATTTCTATATATTGTTGTATGCTTGTTCTTCTAATCAATCACTTGTTCTCATATACTAGTACAAGGGTTCAACTACTCAACTTCCGCTGCACTACTCAAGTCTCCTTTTGCAACTGGACTTAGTCTCTGGAAAGATCCTAAGGGCTTTTCTCAGCCCAATAGTACTCACTAGAAGCATACCTCAGTCTAGCCTTTACTTCTACATAGCTAATATGTATAAGTTGACACCAGGGCTGACTTTATCAGACTATTTACTCTGATTAGTCTGAAATCTCAGACCTGTTTTTTTGCCAAACCTGAATTTCCAGATAAGGCATTTTCCCAATCCTGATCCCTTCAGAGTACGATTCTAGGGATCCTGAGAAAATCAGAGTTGTCGCTAACCCAGTACTGGGTTTTCAGAGCACAGCGCGTACAGACCCTGACTCATTACCTGTATAGTACCAACCTTCGGAAAATTTGGTGAAGTCCCCAATTGCTAGAGACATGCCCCACACACCCCACAACCCCTAAAAAAAATTGGCCAAGTCCCCGAACCCTAGAGACAACCCCCACCCCACACCCCACAACCCATCTAAAATTTCGGCGAAGTCCCGGAACACTAGAGACATCCCCCACACACCCCACAACCCACCCTAAATTTCGACTAAGTCATGTTGTCAGATACAGTCCTCCCTAACACCTGGAACAACCCAGAAGTTTTGAATGAGACTTTCACATTTTTTTTTTAACTGCATTGGAATGAGAGTAAATTCCGCATTTTTAACATAGGGAAATTCTCGCCAGTTGCCCGTTTGGTCAACTGAAAGTCTACCAAAATGTAACGGCCACGATCGTTTGCGATCGTTTCGACATATATCAATCGTTCGATGTTATGTTGTGATTAACGTCCAAGATTTCCCCACCGGGACGTTGCAAGGGCGCGAAATTTCTCCCACCATCCTATTCCCCAGCTTCCCCCCTCCCTGCCGTTTCGATTCCCCCCCCTCCCCTCTGTTTCAATCACTTCCCCTTTCCTCTCCGTTTCGCTTCCCCCATCCTCTCCGTTTCGACCGCCCCCTCCCTTCCCCCCCCTCCCCTTCGTTTCGCTTCCCCCCTCCCCTCCATTTTGATTCCCTCCCCATTTCCCCGTCAGTTTCGATTCCCCCTCTCCTCAGTTTCGTTTTCCGTGGCAGTGCGATTTTACCCCCTCGGTTTTTAGGAATGACTTCCCCGTTTCCCACATTTAACAACTACGCAAAACGAGGGTACAAGGTTGCTGGTTGGGGGGGGGCGCGGGCTGTGGGAGGATTTTTTATGGCTGCAAGGGACTTAGCCGAATTTTTGGGAGGTGTAGGAGGGAGGGAAGTTTCTTGCTGTGGGGGTGTTTCCCGTGTGTGACTCTGGTTGTACGTCCTGGACCCTGAAAAAATCAGACTCGCTGAGTTCTGGACCCTGACATTTCAGACTACAAAAATTTCGGCTGAAGGCCCTTCAGACTTTTTTTTTTTTGGGGGGGGTTGGCTCAGAGTGCTTTTTTTTGAAACGTCAGCCCTGGTTGACACAACCCACTTGGTTATATTGCCTTATATGACTTAGTTCTCGTCGCTTCGTTAACTTTGATACCGTCACGCTCGGGACTATCGAGCCCTTGACTGTTCCAACCCTCGACATTCATGTCAGAAACTAGCTTAGCTAGGAAGCCATAGAATGGCACAAGGTTTAGCTAGGAGCTAGGAGGAGCCATGAGAATGGCGAGAGGTTTTAGGTGCTAGGAAAGTTGAGGAGAGAAAAGATGTTGGATTAGAAGAGAGGGGAGTACAAGGAGGGGTTTGTACCCCCTACAGAAAGGTTCAGTAACAACCTACCAAGCCTATATAAATTATAACTTATATAATTTTAACACACCCCCTAGGCTTGGTAGTCACACACCCACACACACCCACACCCCCTAACCTAGCACCCCAATTCCAGCCACAGTGACAGCGACTCTAGGTCGGTCGACCCCACGGCGCGTGAGGCGGCGACGTCGACCGCAGGGGCTGCGGCGGCGACGGCGGCAGCGGCGGCAGTGTCGACAGCGGCGGCGGCGGCGGCGTGCGGCTGCGTGGCCCCGACGCAAGCGGCGACAGCGGCGGCGGCGGCGGCTTCGACAACAGCGGCAGCGGCGGCGGCACCCGCACCTCTCGGTGACGTGGCCTGGCCCCGCGACTGTGGGACGGCCGGCGGGAGTCAGCCGTCGTCTGCGGAATGGAAGAGGGCGCAGGGGAAGGAGGGGGGGTGGGGGGGGGGGGGGGGCGGCGCCACAGGCTGACATGCGGGCGGCCGGTCTAGCGGCGCCACAAGCGTCACGCGGCCGGCTGCAGCCCGACGACGCCGTCATGGAGCGGCGTCGATGCCGCAGCGGGGCGTCGACGCTGCGACGGCAGCACGACGTCGCTGGTACGCCGACTGCGCGCTGTCGCGTAGACGCCGCGGCAGCGTGACGGCGCCGTCACGTCGCGACAGCAACTTGACGCGACGGCGGAGCTGCGGCACGACGGCGCGGCCACAGCAGCTGGACGCGGGCGCCATGGACGTCGACAGCGGCGCCGCGGCACGACGACGCGGCCACAGCAGCTTGACGCGGCCGCCATGGCAGCGCGAGATAGAGAGAGAAACGAGCACGCAGCGGAAACGCGAGGAGCAGGCCCACACGGAACGAACTGCTCTGATACCATGTCAGAAACTAGCTTAGCTAGGAAGCCATAGAATGGCACAAGGTTTAGCTAGGAGCTAGGAGGAGCCATGAGAATGGCGAGAGGTTTTAGGTGCTAGGAAAGTTGAGGAGAGAAAAGATGTTGGATTAGAAGAGAGGGGAGTACAAGGAGGGGTTTGTACCCCCTACAGAAAGGTTCAGTAACAACCTACCAAGCCTATATAAATTATAACTTATATAATTTTAACAATTCAACCCTGGTCAATCGCCCTATATATTGCTTCAGGCTCATTATTCTGGATCATTCTGTTATCACTTTCCCCTATAGTATTCTGCGCTATACTGAGTCAGATTTCAAAACAGATGGGAGCTGTTGGTAATTGTGAAACACTGAAAATTGTTGGAATAAAAACAATCTACAGGGATTCTGGATGTAAGTATGTTCCGCGTGGTAGCAGTATCACACGCAAAAGAAACAAGCGGCGTAGAGTAAGGGGGATAAGGAAGGCAGGCTAGAGAAAATAGCGGGCGTGGGAAACCCAGGAGGCATTAGGCGAACCGGCAAGTGCGGCGAGCAAACCAGCAAGTGCGGCGAGTGAACGTGCCAGCGACTCTCGCAACGCAACACAGGGGCGGACCATCAACGCACTATCTTCCCCTTTCCTCGTGCCTTCACGACATCGCGCATCGCGACACGGCGACACGGCGACGACACCCCACTAACGGCGTTTCAAGTCATCCACGTCTGTTCAGTCCGTCCGTCGCGCGCCTCTCAGCTACCAGCAACCGCCACCTTGCCCGCTTTCCCGACTCCAAATCGTGCATATATGTCCACAGCCCCTCAGCCATTACGCCCTTTCTTCCTCCATATCAGAACCTCGCCACCTTGTCCGCTTTAACGACGGGATTCGCCTTCGCGATGGCCTCGCGACCCGCCGACTTGTAGTCGAACGAGCACGCGTGCTTGTCCGAGTACCTGTGAATCGCGCAGAACATGTCTCCGCACCGACACTTGAACCCCGTCAGTCCCACCCGCCGTTTGCACGACGTGCACCGAATCGCGCGACTGCTGCTGCTCGACGGCTTCGCGGGAGCGGGGACGACACTCGTCACCGCAGCGGCAGCGGCAGCGGCAGAGGCAGCGACGGAAGGAGAAGCAGACGAGGCGCGGGTGTCGATACTCGACAGCGCAGGCTGCTGCGTTTGCCCGCGTACGTCAACCTCCGCCTTCCTGTTCAGAAACGAATCTCCGCGCGGCTCAGCTGGCATGACGCGGGTGCTCAGACTCGTCCGCTGGATGCTCTCCGCGTCTCCAGCGCTCGAGGGCGTGGCGCCGTTTCCGCCGCTGCTGCCGCTAGTAGCGCCGCTTGGGCAAGGGTCGGTTCGAAAGATTACCGGAGAGTCGGAGCGCGGAGGGCTGGCGGAAAGGGTGGAGTTGGAAGAGGTTGCAGCTGTTGCTGTTGTTGCTGTTGTTGTAGCGGCGGCGGCCTGCATGGTCTTGGCTACGTGCTCGCTGTAGCACTGCGAGCACATGTTGAGCGTCGCGGCGCTTCCGAAGAAGCCGCAGTTGTTGGCGCAGAGGATGTTCCGGTCGGATTGCTTGCAACCAGCTGAGCCCTGCTCTCTTTCCCAGCTCTCCTGAGCCATGGCGGGAGAGGGGAAGGCACGTGCAGAGAGACAACAAGCAGAAGCGGAACTAGGGACTGCGCACAGCTGGGTGGACTTTCTGGGTGGAGGGAGGTATAACTTGTTATTATGGCGCGACTGGGTGTTGTGGAGAAAAGAAACAGGTGGAGGAGTGGGCACAGCGATTACGGCTCTAACAAAAAAGATGAGACCTGAGGGGAGCTTGGTATGAGGTGGGCGCAATGGTTGTGGTAGATGTGTAGGAGGAGCGAGTTTTTACGCAGGGTACGAGCGGGCAGGGGTGTGGTGTGGTGCCCGTGGTGGCCGTAGTGTACCGACTCTCAAGGGCAGTGTGGAAGAGTCGAGTCGCCCAAACTATCATTCACCGCTGGAGGGGGGCAAGGCTCGCACAACACGGGATTGGTGGCAGCATTGCCGCAGCAGCAACGCAGCAGGGCAGCATCGACTTCCATTTGCCCATGGCACTGCTTCTGTACTGTACTTTACTGTACTCTACTCAAAAGCGGGTTCGAGGGTCGAGCCGAGACTCGAGAGTCGAGACTCGTCGGGCCCGAAGGTGTGGGTGGCGTTCTCCTGTGCTGCTTGTTGTTGAACTTGCTACCCGACCCAACCGCAAAGTTTGTTGTCTACAGTTCACGAACGGAGTAGGTGGACGTAATGTTGAGTCTGGGACGCTGCTGATTGGCAGGCTGGTACAGCGCGTCGTGTACAGTACATGGTAGGACAATGCTGCAGGGGAAATCTGCGCGGAGGTTGTTCGTTTGCTCCAGTACCCGCAGAATTCTCCCCTCCACCACAGCAGAGAACCCCCCCTCCGCCCCAAACCTCCCCCATCCCCCTCACACACAATTGCCCCTTCCTTTCCCCTCCACTCCCCTCCTCCCCGCATGGGGATCTCCTCCGCACCCTTACCCAAAACCCCGTCCCTTGCGTGCGGTCTCTCTGACTGGCCAGTTGACGACGAGCAGAATCATGGTGCTTTGTGGCTGGTTGGCGGTGGGCAGTGTACCGTACCGAATGACAGGTTGGCGGATTGAGGTCCAGTACCGTACCCACGATTTACACCGTCCTCGATACAGTATTGCGGCATGTGCTGTCTGACGTGGCACCGTGGTTGAAAGGCAGGGGTGGGTAGAATTGTCGACCATGCCGGAAGCTATTGAATGCAGATGAAGATTGACGGCGTGGGCCCAGTGGAAAACGCCAACATCATATGCGGATGATGTGGCCCTTCCAAACCACCATCTGCAGTATGGATGGCTGGCTGGGGCTAAGTTGTCACAGAATACAATTATCGTAGAAAACGACGGCGACGGCGCCAGCGCATAAAATGTCGGCCTGTGACATGTGCACCCCCTGAATTATGACCAAGGCACCTCCTGACTTAAAACGTTAACAAAATGCTTACCCTTACATAACTGAAAATCCAAAAAAAAAAAAAAAAAAAAAAAAAAAAAAAAAAAAAAAACGAGGCCAGCCCTGTGTTTTCCAGGGCTTTGTTCAAGCAAGCCCTGAGAGAATCAGGAGGATTTGTATCCTGACCCGTAGGAGTCCGGGGCGGTTTTGAGGGGGCCCGGACATCTAGTCAGCCTCCGGGGGGTGTAGGAATTTGTCAAACTTCCCGCTATTCCCTTTACCCTAAGCCCGAGTCTGCTCTTCCTATTTTTCCGTAGTTTAGCGGTTGGTTTTAATACAAGCTGCCGGGAACAATTGTTCACGCCGCTCAAACTCGTCCCATCCCTCCCACCAAACACCCTTAATTCCCAGCCCCCTGGCCTAAATCTAGCACCTTCATGTGCTTGATTCATCTGGAACATAGTTGCTGGTGCGGGTTTCCCACCCCAAATTCGCCCACGGCACCCTCACTATCTTGTCCACCAAAGATTGGTTACAACCTATCAGGCCTTTTTAAGCACGGACCCTGAAGAATCAGGGTAAAATGTTTACGAAGTCGAATTTTACAAGGCGATTTTCTGAGGGGCCCGGATCGTCCGAGATGGCGAAAAACCTAGCGAGAGCCCCGATTATGACATGATTTTCACGCGAATCCTACCCGCTCCGGCAGCAAAATGCTGATCACATGTACTGCTGCCAAAATCCCGCAATTTTGAGTTTCTCGGAACGTTTCTGAAGCGGTCGTGTTGTATTTTGTGTAGCTTACGAGATGGCTGCATAGAGCAGAACCAGTAAAATATTGCCGCAAACCGAGCTGCAACAGAAACAAAAGGTGATAAAACGTCCATTCTCAAACGCCCTTAAAGCGTGTCCAAAGAGTGCCTCTATTACTGTTGGGCAGGGTCTTCGTTGAGTCAAAAGGATTAAAACTCTTCTACTACGGTTGGGTAGGGTATCTGGCGAATATTCTTACTTGCTCTTCATGACAATATTTCCATAAATCTGATCGTTGGCAAACTACGCGTGACCCTAGCATATATGTTTGCGTTAGGGCCAGAAAGTACCCTAAACTGTACTCGTAAGTTATCGCGTTATAGCCCGAAGAACCTCACCAAACCACAATAACGTTTGTTTTTAGAATGATGTTATTCAGCAACGAGTAAAGAGTCTCAGAATACAAGACTGTCCTACCTCAAGGGAGCATTCTTGAACTCCCTCTTCGTAATATTTTACTTGGGCTCTAAGTGTTACAATGAGAGAATAAACTAGAATGGGAGAGTAACAGGTAATATAACCTGGAAGCTGTACCCTCTAAGACACAAACCTATACAGTCTATACAAAAATAAAAAATACATGTTTGATACACCCCCTAGACTGTACAGGAGCAGTTCCTTACGAGAGAACAAGCAGCTCAGGGTGGCACTACCAGTCCGACCTCTGAGGCAAGGATCTAAAGACCAGTCAAACGAGTACAGACACAAGCCAAAAGCAAAACCAGGGCGGCACTACTAGTCCAACCACTGGGAAGAGGCCACAAGACCAGTCAGAATAAAATATATAAAAGGTCAGTACACAGTCAAGGCCCTAGCAAGTGAGAGGCTACAGGAACAAGACCTAGCTGTACACAGTGCCGCTGATGATCTTTAGGCGCAAGCGCCTTCGTAAAGATATCAGCTGTGTTGGCACCGGAGGCCAAGTGTACTACGGGTGCCTTGCGGCGCTGCTGTAGCTCACGCAGGAGGAAGTACCGCAACTAGATGTGCTTCGCTCTGCCCTCGAGTCGCGGCTCCTGACACAGGAGGATCATGGCCCTGTTGTCAGCGTAAAGAACCGGGGCAGAGCTAGGCCGCTCACCTAAGTCATTGAGCAAGAAGGTCAGCCAGCGGAGCTCCTGTACCGCCATGGCTCTGGTGTAGATCTCGGCCTCACAGCTGGACTGGGCAACAGACGAGGAGCGAGTAGCTCTCCACGAGACAGCACCTGGACCAAGGCTAAAGCAGTAGCCCTGCGAGGACCTAAGGGTCTCGGCGTCGTCTGCCCACGAAGTGTCTGTGTGCCCAGTAAGGACCACTGGCCTGCGCCCTCCTAGCACTTACCTCATGCCCGATGTACTTGCAAGATAACACAAAACCCTCTTAGCGGCAGACCAGTGCTGAGGTTGGTGTCTGCCTGTAGCCACAAAGCGAGAGGGTATGCGAGATCTGGACGAGTGCAAGTCATCGGGTACATGAGGCAACTCACCAGCTCTGCGTAAGGACCACTGGGCTCTACTGACTCCTCAGGAACAGGAGCTGAGAGCCTGTGGTCTACAGGCAGAGGGGTGGGCTGTACAGAGGAGAACTGAAGGCCGAACCTCTAAATGACCTGGCGCACCAAGTGTGACTGAGTGAGGGTGATGGTGCGCGCTAATCTGCCCCTGGAGATCTGCAAGCCAAGGTAGTGGTGCAGTTCTCCAAGGTCAGTGCAGGTGTGTCTCTTTAGCAGCTCTGCCTTCACCGAGGCCAGTGTGTCCCTGTCTGCAGTGGCGAACACCAGGTCGTCTACGTAAACAAGGATGTGAAAGGAGTCTGGCCAGCACGAACGTAGAGCGAGGGGTCTGCAGAGGACGGAAAGAACTGCAGGTCAGCAAGGGTAGCACGCAGCGTGTCGTGCCACTCACGGGAAGCCGGCTGCAGGCCGTAGACGGGACGCCGCAGGAGCCACTGGATCCCAGAAGGGAAGGTACAAGTGAAACCCTGAGGGCGGCGCAGGTAGACCTGCTCGTGTAGACTGCCCTGAAGAAACGCAGTGGAGAAGTCGAGGGAGTGAAGCTCATAGTCACGCAGAGCTGCTACGTGTAGCAGCTCCCGAAGAGTAGTCATCTTCGGGGTTGGAGCGAAGGTCTGAAAGAAGTCCACTCCCTGACGCTGACTGAAGCCCCTAGCCACGTAGCGCACCTTGAACACAGGCGGCTCTCCGGGAGGGCGCTTCACCTTGAAGAGCCAGCGGCCATCGACTACGTTCACCCCAGGTGGGGGAACTGCGTCGACGTAGGTGCCGGTGGATCTCCAAGATGCCATCTCCTGCTCCATGGCAGCTATCCACTGAGAGGCCCAGGGCCTGAGACCGCCTCAGCGTAAGTGCGAAAGGTCGGGCTGTCGAAAGCGTCTGGGTCACTTTCAGGCACTAGCAGCATGGAACAGAGATGGGGAGCAGCCTCGGACAGGAAAGCAAGCTCGTACTGGCGGTCCTCCAGGACGTCACTGCCGAGGGCAAGAGCACCCCTGACAAACAGAGGACAGGCTGGGTCGGAGACTAGAGCGGTGGCGTAGTCAAGGCGGCGGGTAGAGGCGAAGTCAGCGACCGCAGCGACAAGAGCGTCAAGACGCGAAACTGGAATAGACGGGTCGGTAACGAGAGAGGCAAGGACCCGAGGAACAAGAGGAAGAGCAGCACGAAGGTAGTCAGACAGATGGGGAGGCGCAACAGCAAGGGAGGACGGAGGAGGCGACGGGAGGAGAGAAGGACGAGACGCGCGGGAACGAAGCAACATGGGGTGAGAGCGCGGGACACGGGAGACAAGGCGAGCACGGGAGGGACGAGGAGACCAGACGTGAGATGGAGGCGTCGGGTCAGGAGACAGAGGAGGAGACACCGGAGGGGAACGAGGGGGAAGACGAGCCGGAGACGAGTCAGGGGGAGGGAACACAGGGCCGTAGACCGGAAGAGGAGGGGACAGCAAGAGTGGAACAGACGCAGGGCCAGGGGACGGAAGGACGAGCAGGCGAAGGGCTGACACCGGCGGTGACTGCGGCTGCGGTGGCACAACACCGACACCGGGGCCGCAAGCTGCTCCACGGATACCTCCGGAACACTCTATTCTTGCACCCCCAGAAGGAACACCCCCAGAGCCCGAAGCCCCTCGAGCACCAGTACCACCCACAGGCCCGCCGGGACAAGCCACGACAGGAACCCCAGGACTAGTACCCACCCTAACGCCAGCACCCCCAGAGTCAACGAACTGCTGCTGCGACAGCTGCGGCGACGGCGGCTGCAACGACGGCTGCGGCAGCGGCGGCGGCGAGGACTGCAGCTGCGACAGCAGTGGCGACGGCGGTTGTAGAGGAGGCGGATGAGGAGACACCTTGGGAGGGACAGGCGGCAAGGATTGCGCCGCAGAACCACCAGAGTCAGCAGACTCCTCAACCGGGACAACCGACGTGAGGGGGTGACGTGGGACACACCAGTCGGTGCAGGATGGAGAGGGGGAGGGGGAGGGGCAGGGGCCACCGGGGAAGGGGGGACCAGGAAAACGGGGGGGGTAACCTTGGTGGGGGAAGCGGCGGTAGAAGGAGACGGACTCGTCAAAGGTGACGTCGCGGGAGTGAAAGAACCGGTGAGACTGCGGGTGGTACAAGTGCTAGTCGGACTAGTCTAGGGGGAAACCGAGGAAGACACATGGGAGGGTGCGGGCAGTGAACTTGTCCGTGCCAGAGGCACGAACGTGAGCAAGGCAGCCCCAGATGTGGAATGGAGACGCGTCACGAGGAGACCTGGTCGGCGAAACCTGCGGCTGCCGGGGGTGCGGCCACAGGTTTAGCTGGTGAGCGGCGTAGCGAACGGCAAACAGCCACAGAAAATGGGGTGCACCGGCATGGATCATGGAGGTACGAGCCATCTCCATGACCAAACCGATGCGTCGCTCAACGACCCCATTTTGCTGTGGGGAGTCCGGCAAGGTGAACATCTGGATGATGCCCTCCGCACGACAGAAACGACCAAGATCGCCGGAGGCAAACTCGCCGCCACGGTCAGCAAGGAGACGCAAGACAGGGAGACCGCAGTGGACACACGCAGAGACAAGCCACGGGATGAGAACACCAGGCACGTCGGCCTTCCGCTCAAGGGGAAAGCCGGTGGTGTAGCAGGTATAGTCGTCGACAAGCAGTAGGAAGTAGCGCTCTCGACGCGGCCCATGGACGTGGGGGGGGGGGGGCCAGACGTCCATGTGCAGGGTCTGTAGCGGTGCGGTGTTAGGGGGGAACGAGGAGGAGTGAGGGGCACGGTAGAGCCGGCCCTCGACACAGGGCGTGCACGGTGGTGCTGGGGAGAGGGCAACTCGGGGAACGACCCTTGGAGACCTAGGACAAGACCGTGCTGTGACATGTGACGCAGACGCGGGAGGGCAGGGTGACCTAGACGGTGGTGCCACAGTAGCGTCGGGTGAGTGAGCGACCGACAGAAGCAGGCAGGAGCAACCTGGGTAGACGCAGACACCTGAGGGGACATCCCAATTGGTGGGGTCGCGGTGTCCAGTGTGAACGGTCCAGATACCGGGTCTCGGGGGAACGTGGTGAGGGGAGCACCAGTGGCGGCCTCGGTACAGACAGCGTACCGCTCGTGACCAGGGAACGTAGTGGTGTCGCCAAGGTCCTGGAGGCAGCCAGCACCTACTAGGTTCTTGGAGAACGAAGGGATGTGCAGGGATGTAAGGAACCGCCGGACCGGCAAGAGTGGTGGAACTGCGGGCGACTACCGGGCCGGAGGAGGGGTTGGCAAGGGAAACTGCAGCAGGAGCAGGAAGCGGCGTCAGCGTAGTGGAGTCGCGAAAGAAACACCGAGAAGCGCCAGAGTACAAGGTGAAGGAGAGCGCGGCAGTGGCGTCCGGAGTCGGAGTAGCGATAGAAGAACCAAGGCTAAAGAAAGCAGGGGATCCTACGCCTGACGCAGCAGGGGAAGCACGACTAGACACGCCTACACTATGCAACAAGGGGTAATAAGAAGCAGTCACACTAGAGTCATTAGCATACATCACATGCAGGGCAGCAACAATCTCATCCATGTCCATATCAAAAATCTGAACGCTACGACGAAGCAAGCTGTGTCAGTCTGGGAGGTCGGACGACGGGCCGAAGCGCTGACGACGGTCACCCGAACCGCCACCCGACAGCCCATCACGCACACGACCACCACGTCCAGTGCCACCACCAGCGCCAGGCCACCCGGGCGGAAGACGACTCGCTCGCCTCAGCTGCTGCTGCTGGTGCGAAGGCTACTGCTGCGGCTGGTGCGTGTCCGGTTGCGACTCCTGCGGCTGCTGAGGCGACTGCTCGGCTGCACCTGTCAGGGTCCCTTCGTCAGCGCTACCACTAGGCAACCGGTCTCCACCACCACCTCCACCTGCACCGCCACCCCACCGCCGCGCCCAGCCTTTGGGCGGCGGCCCTTCCCGGAACGGATCTGCGCTGCAGCTGCAGACTCGGCCACAGCAGTAGTACCGTCGCAGAAGGTGCACTGAGCGGGGGCACAACTCTGAAAGGTAGGGACTGGCATAGTACCGCTGGTCTGGGCGATAGAGCGCTGACGAATCTCTATGGCAGACAGGGTGTCGACGAAGTCAGTGAGGGTGAGGTCACCGGGGTGGATGCTAAGGAAGCGGTCGCGGGCAGTAGCAAGACGATCAAGGAGGCGGGTGGCAAGCAAGTAGAGGGTAGAGCAGAGGGGCGGCTGAAAGGCTCTAAGCTGGGTCTCAGTGTAGGCAGAGCGCCAGGTCGCGTCTATCGTGCGTAGGTGAGCGGCTAGGTCAGCGAGAGTGGGGAAAGACGCAAGGTCAGGAAAGAGCATGGGCAGGATCAGGCGACCTACAGAGGCAGCGGGCGGGGTGGAGTTGCGCTTTACAACAGCATCTAGGAACTCCTGCGCATTCGTAACCGACCGAGAGCGAGGGCACTCAGACGGGGGGAGGGCATGACTGATCGCAAGCTGCGCTACGGCGTCACGCAACAACCAGACTGAGCAGGCAAGGGCAGCAGCTGCAGCGGACTCACGGTCAGCGACGAGGGGTCAGCGAGCAGGGCAGCAGGGGGGTCAAGACTGGGAAGCGTACCGTCGAGGTGGATCGCCAGGGAGTGGCCATCCTGTTGCTGACCAGTGAGATGGCTGCGGAGGTCGACCAACCACGTGTCAAACTCGAGCGGCTGACCCTCTACGTCAAAGCGGAGCACGGAATCCGCCATTAGGATCAATGCAGCAGCGGTGCAGTACAGTGCGGAGCGGTGCAGAGCAGTGCAGTGCGGTGCAGTACGGTACTGTGCGGTGTAGTGCGGTACTGTGCGGTGCAGTGTGGTGCTGTGCGGTGCAGTGCGGTACCGAGGGGTGAGGGGCGGTGCTGTGCGGTGCGGTATGGCGCGCAGGTACACAATGGACGCTGGTATCGGCGGCGGGCCGGCGGAAGAGAAGGGACGGGTGCAGGGGCCGACTAGGAACAGGCGCAAGGGGGCCAGCTGGACCGGGCGCGAGGACCGGTGAGGGACGGGCGCAAGGGGCCGGCTGGAATGGGCGCAAGGGCGGGCTAGATGGACCTAACCTACTCATGATACCATGTTGGAATGAGAGAATGAACTAGAATGGGAGAGAAGGTAATATAACCTAGAAGCTGTACCCTCTAAGACACAAACCAATACAGTCTATACAAACATAACAATATATGTTTGACACTAAGGTGTGTTTGTAGTTCCTGTAGTACTTGTACGTTGAACAGACTTTTTCAACACACCACAAATTTGACTCAACCCCAAGGAACAAGCATGGAAGCAAACAGAAGCCACTCAGACCATAAGTTTAATAATTTGACATGCGCATTTATTCTGCTCTATTAGGTCGTTCTAAACCCGCCACTATTGCAAGCAGCAGACCCGCGAAAATCCATCGAAGTACACGAAGTCCACTAAGAAAATACCAAGCACACTCACCACACTCACATGCTGCTTGTGCATCCCCCCCCCCTCCTTCTCTTCCCTCCCCCTCACCCCAACACCACGCACACACCCACTGAACCCATATGCGCTCTTCTCACAGTGACCATCCCCATCTTAACAGTGCAGCCTCTTCGTATCTAGCTTGCACTCCCACTGTTCCCCCTCCGACCGCCCTCCCCCCTACTACCTGCCACCTTCCCCCATGCCTCCTCCGCCTTGACCCTTAGCTGCACCAAAGAATCATCCACTCTCCCTTTAACCTCCTCAATTGCCTTCCCCCCCACGCCAACCATCTCCTCCACTTTCCTACCCCCTGCCATAACCACCTCTTCCATTTTTCTCCCACTCGCGTTCACCATCCCTCCAACCCTTTCCCTGGCCGCTCCCCCTGCACCTTCCACGGTCTTAGCCCCTCCCTCCACCACCCTCCTCCCCTCCTCCACCACTTTCCCTGCCCACTTTCCCGCCTCTCCCACGGCTCTGCTGAGATCCAATTCCATCTGACTCACCTTCACCTGCTCCTTAAACCCCTCCATCCTCTCCCCCACCTTCACGATCCCCCTCTCCGCAGCTCTCACTGCCTCCCGCGCTCTCTCCCCCAGCGGCTGCACCAGGTCCGAAGCACGCGCCTTCCAGGCCTGGGGATCCAACACCTCTGCTTGGAGGCCCGGGAGCCCCGGACGTGCTTTCACGGCCATATCGTGCACTCCCAAATCCTTTGCATCCCCAGAAGCGCTCACATTGGTTCTGTCGGCGGCAGTGGGATTGGTTCCCTCAGCAGGGGCAGGCGTGGTGGCATGCGCAGCTTCTGCTGCTACCTTCATCCCCCACTCACTCGGGCCCACAGCAACAGGCGCAGCCACGGAGGGAGGCGTGGCTTCCAGGGGAGGGTGGGAGCGGGAGAAGGGCGAGAGGGATATGATGCGACCGATGAAACTGGCAAGGCCGCCAGCAGGGGTGGTTGAATCAGTGTCAGGTGCCGTGCTCATGTCCACTGCCACCTCTGCTTCTTCTGCCCTTGCTTGCTTCCCCTCCCACCCCTGCTGCTCCTGCTCCTGCTCCTGCTCCTGGTTCTCCCTCTTTTCCATCAGCAGATACTGCTTCTCCTCCAACTCCTGCCGCCTCTCCCTCTCCTGCTCCTCCCTCCCCCGCACCTCCCTCTCCCGCTCCACCACCTCCCGCCACGCCTGCTGCACCCTCTCACTCGCCGCCCTCACCAGCACCAGCTCCGCCTCCGCCTCCGCCCTGGCAGGGGGAGACACAGGGGGAGGGGCGCAAGAAGAGGGGGACACAGGGGAAGGAAAATTTGAGAGTCACAGAAGACAAGGAAGGAAGGATCCGCACCAGCTCCAATTCAGCCTCTGCTCTGCCAGGGGAGAAGCAGGGAGAGGGGCACATGAGGTGGGAGGTATGGGGCGGTTCAGGGGGAATAGGAGGATCAAGGGAAGGAAAGTCTGCATACCAGGTCATGCCACCAGCTCCAATTCAGCCTCCACCCTGACAGGGAAATAAGCAGGGAGAGGGGGGCAAGAAGAGGGGTTAGAGGGACACAGAGGGGATACGGGACGACGAATCGGTATAGAGAATGTGATACCAGCTCGAATTTAACCTCCACCCTGACAGAAAAGAAGCAAGGAGAGGGTTGCAAGGGGGTGGGGGATGGTGGGCGGTGGGGTGGCCGAGAGCCATCGGCATGAATCACACCAGAAATCGTCTATTTTTGCACTGGGAAGGGGGAAGAGGGGAGGATGGGATGAGAGGGAAGGAAGAAGGGATGGTGAGGTGAAGATGGTGGGTGGGAGGGGGGAAGGGGGGAGTTGGGTGGGGAAGTGTGAAGTGTACCCAACCCTCAAACGTTTGACAGGCAGAGTGTAGCACTGAATGGTCCCAAACAAACCCCTTTCTCCTACCCCTCACCTGGCCCTCTGAAGAGCCTCCTTCTCCCCTTGCACGTCCCTCTCCCTCTCCCTAGCTCGCTCCGCAGCCTCCTCTACCTGCCCCAGCATGGCGACTTCAAAGTCGAATCAGAACCCACCTGGCCCTCTGAAGAGCTTCCTTCTCCCCTTGCACGTCCCTCTCTCTCGCCCTAGCTCGCTCCGCTGCCTCCTCTGCCTGCCCCAGCATGGCCTGTACTTCCTCCCACTGCTGCCGCACTGCATGCCTCTCCTGCTGCACTTGTTGCTGCAGGGCTAGGGCTGCCTGCTGCTGCTGCTGCCTCTCCCTCTCCGCCTGCTGCTGCTGCTCCTGAACCTTTGACTGCAGGTGATGGATCGACGCCTGGGTAGGGGAGAGAAGGGGAGGTGGAGGGGAAGAGGGAGGTGGCGTGATACCGTGTGAGAGAGGGTAGGTGGGGGGAAGGAGAGTTGAGAGATAGAGAGGCGGGGGAAGAGGGGGGTCACGTGAGTTAGCAAGAAAGGGGATGGGGGAAGGGGGAAGGGGGGGACTGGGGGGGAGGGAAAAAACAGGAGAGCAACGAACGAAGTGATAGTGAGGAAACTCCTAATGGATCCCCCTTACGTAGTGAGTCTATTTTTGCCTCTACTCCAGAAGAAGCTCATTACACTCCTTATGGTTCCCCCCTCCCCCCCCCCCCCCACCACCCGTGATGGAGGTGTAATTTAAGAAGATCCCCCACCCTCACATCCCCCCTCTCGCCTCACCTTCTCCTGCTCCATCTCCCGTTCAACCCTCTCAGCAGTCCCATGCAACATAAAAATATTCAAAATATACCCTCATATCCCCCTTCCAAACCCCCCTCGAACCCCCCCTTTCTCCTCACCTTCTCCTGCTCCATCTCCCGTTCAACCCTCTCCGCAGTCCTCTGCAGCACCCCTGCCACCTCCTCAACCGCCTCCCTAACCCTCCTCTCCTCCCCCACACGTTCGTCCCTCCCCACACTCTCCCGCACCTCCTCCCTCTCCCTCCTCTCCGCCTCCGCCTGGGCCGCTTCCAGCGCAGCAGCAGCCGCCCGCTCCACTCTCGCTCGCCCCACGGCCTCACTCACTCTCTCCCCGCCCTCCCCGGCTGTGGCCAGGGCGATTGCTGCCTGGCCGCGGGTCACGGGCTTGTGCGGGTCGAAGCGACGGGTGAAGCCAAACGCTGTGGTGACAATGCTATTGCTGCTGCTGCTGTGATCGCGCTTTGCTGCATCTAGTAGCACAGCTGGGAGTGCGTCGGGTTCGATTCGATCCATGTCAATGAATGGCGCGGGCTGGTGTGCGGTGCAAGGGGGGGAAGGAATGGAAGGGGGGCGCGGGGGGGGGGGGGGGGGGTGGGGGTGGGGGTTTGGGGGGGGGAGGTGAGTGGAGATGAGGTGAGGTGGGATGGGAAATTGGAGAGTGGGGGGAATTGGAGCCACGCATCTTATGGCTGCAGAACGGAGTCAAGGTCAGCTTTCCACCCCTCTCCAAAACCCACCTCACAAACCCCTTCAATCCAAGCCAGCCAGAGTAACTCCCCATCCCTCCTCCCAACCCACCCACCTGGGTGCTGAGGTGGGCCAGCAGCGACACATCCTGTGGCTGCAGCACGGAGTCAAGCGCCGCCTTCCATGACACCAGATCCTGACGACTCAGGGGACTGCACGGGGGGGGGGGAGGGGAAGGAGGGCGGGGAGATGGGGGAGGGGGGAGGGGCGAGGGCGGAGGGTTCATGCGCCTGAAAGAGCAGAGACAGTTCCTGCGTCTGCAGCACGGAGTCAAGAGCCGCCTTCCATGACACCAAATCCTGCCGACTCAGAGGACTGCACAGCGAGGAGGGGGAAGGAGGGAGGAGGGAGGCGGGAGGGGGAGAGGGAGGGGGGAGGGGGGAGGAGGGAGGGGACAGGCGGGAGGGGGGAGTGGGGAGGGGGGAGGAGGGAAGGGGGAGGGGTGAGGGGGGAGGGGGGAGGAGGGAAGGGGGAGGAGGGAGGGGGGAGAGGGGAGGGGGGAGGGGAGAGGAGGGAGGGGGGAGGAGGGAGGAGGGAGGGGACAGGCGGGAGGGGGGAGTGGGGAGGGGGAGGAGGGAAGGGGGAGGGGGAGGGGGGAGGAGGGAAGGGGGAGGGGGGAGGGGGGAGGGGGGAGGAGGGAAGGGGAGGAGGGAGGGGGAGAGGGGAGGGGGGAGGAGGTAGGGGGGAGGGGGGAGGGGGGAGGGGGGAGGGCAGATGGTTCATGCGCCTGAAAGTGCAGCGACAGTTCCTGTGACGGAATCAGGACCGGCCTTTCATGACACCAGATCCTGAAGGCTCAGAGGACAGCACAATGGTAAGGGTTTTACACTACGGGGGGAGAGGGGGTAGGAGAAGGGCTTTTGGCACAACTCACATGGTTTTGAGACCCTGATTCGCATGGCATCCCCAACCGAAGGACAAAACAGAAACTGTGAACCCCAGCACCGCACTGCACCATACCGCACCTGTCAGGGTGGAAGAGGGCGCCACTGCCACTGTTGCAACCCGGGCGAGCGGGCAAAACGGCGGACTCAGGAGAAGTTGCAGCAGCAGAGGAGGCAGCAGATGCAGAGGTGCTTGCAGCGTTTGCAGCGCGGGGGCAGGCAAGATCTGTGAACGAGAGCTTGCTGGAGATGAGACCTGCCTCAGCTAGACCTGGGAGTGGGGGGGTGGGGGGCGTGAAATGGATCAAGGCAGGGATCTGTGCCAGACATGCAAGCGGCTTGGATAGGCATGGCGCGTGCTGAACTGAGTTACGTCTGTCTCATGATGGACGTGGTGTATTTTGAGTCGACTCAAAATACACCCGGACGTGGGGAAAGGGAATGGGAGGGATTGGGATGGGGAACGGATGGTGGAAAGCAAAGGGAGGACCGGAAAGAAAGGCTGGGGAACAGGCAAGGCGAGACAGCAGGAGCAAGAAGGGCAGGAGGGGCAGGAGGGGCAGGAGGGGCAGGAGGGGCAGGAGGGGCAGGAGAAAGAATCGGGGGTGCGGGCGCACCTTGCGTTGCGAGTTCGACTCAAAACCAAGGAGCTAAGGGCGCACCTTGGATGGCGGCATAGTCGGGGTCTTGTGGGCCCACGTCGTCAAAGGCGGGCGCGGAAAGGCCGTCTATGTACATGGCTGGCTGCACTCGATGCGCGGGTTCACTGGGGAGGGGGGGGGGGGGGTGAGGATGGGAGAGGAGGAGAGAGTGTGTAATGGTTCTGAGGAGGCTGAAAGGGAAAGGCCGACTAAGTACATGGCTGGTTGGACTCGATGCACGAGGGGGGGAGGGAGGGGGAGGTGCGGAGAGTTGGGAGAAGGGGGGAAAGGGAAAGGCTATTTTTAGGCACCTCAAAAAGAGGCCGTCTATGTGCATGGCTGACTGGACTCGATGCGCGGGGCCATTGGGAGGGAAGGACGAGGGGGGAAAGGAGAAGGGGGGGAGGGCGTTTCGAGACCCTAAACCAAGGAGATGGTACCTGGCGAGGGCGTTGGAGGCGTTGACCAGCCATCGGGCAAACTCCCTTCGACTGCAGATGCCTGACGCGTCCACGTGGCCTTCAATCACCTGGTGACACGTGGAGACGTGTGATATGAGGTGAGCAGGAGCGTAAATCGAAACAGTGTACGAGTAGCAGGCTTTTGAGTCGATTCAAAGCAAACATCGGAGAGTAGTAGAGTAGAACAAGACCTTGAACAAGACGTTGAACAAGACCCTACAGCAGGCAAGAAAAAAGTATCTTCTCAAAGCAAGGCCTCTCTCGTTCTCCATTCTCACATCCCCCTCCTCCCCCTCTCCCGAAGCTCCCCCCCCTCAATTACCCCGAGAATATGCAGGTCCTGTACGGCCTGCTGCTGCCCTGGATCCGCGGCTGCTCTCACCACCACCCTCTGCCCTGCCCCTATCCCCTGCTGCTGCTGCTGCTGCTGCTGCTGCTGCTGCTGCTGGTTCTGACTTCCACTGCCTGCACCAGCACCGGCTAGCAGCTTATTGGTGACAGCACTGACAGGAGCAGGCACGAACCCGCTCGCTGCAACCCTCTCCCACCACTCCTTCACACCGCCCACCACCGCACTCACTGCTCTTCCCTGCCTCGCCAACGGGACATCTTTCTCCTGCTCCCCGCTCTGCCCTTCAGCAGCAGCAGCTGCAGCAGTCACTGCTGAAGCTGCTTGTACAGCTTCTGTGTCTCCTCTCGCCGCTGCTGCTGCTGCTGGGGGTGCTTCTGCCGGTGCTGCTGCGGGTGCTGCTGCGGGTGCTGCTGCGGGTGCTGCTGCAGGCGCTGCTGCTGCCGTGTCTGGTGCTGCTGCTGCAGCTGCTGCCACCGGTGCTGCCTGGAGCTGTTGTTCCACAGGCGCCTCTCCCTTCTCCGCAACGTCCTCGAACGGTGTCAGCTTCTCCACCGCTTCTGACTCCTCCATCTCCCCTACCACCACTGGCAGTGCTGCCAATTCTGCCTCATCTCCTGCTGCTGGTCCCACCGCTGCTTCCTCAAACACTGCTGATTCCACAGCTGCTGCTGGAACAACCGTAGCTGAAGTTGCTGCTGTCGGCGATGCTACAGCTGTAGGCGGTGCTGCTTCTGCTGTAGGTGCTGCCTCTGCTGTTACGACCAGCAGTGGAGCAGACTCAGCCAGTATGGCAGGCTCTGGCTGCACAGGCGTGGAACCCACAGCAGGCTTGTCAGCCGTAGCAGTGTGCACAGAGGCAAGAGAAGGCGCAGAAGAAGAAGCATCGGAAGACTCATCAGCCGGAGTCGAGACAGGGGTGGCTGCTGAGGCCGATTGCAAGGGGGCAGAATCTTCTGTAGCAAGCAACTCAGGTACGTCGTGCTTTGTCGATGCGGGCAGTACGGAGGTGGTGGCAACAGCACTGGTAGCAGCACTGGCATCAGCGAGAGCAGCAGCAGCATCAACTGCAGCAGCTGCTGCTGCATCAGCAGCAGGAGCAGCACTGACGAAAGACGCCACATCGAAAGCAATCGACTCCACTTGCGCCTCTAGGCTTGGCACGTCCGCCTTTGCAACAGACTCCAACGATCCACCTGCTGTCACCACAGGGGCGTGATCACTACTCGCATCAGCAGCACCAGCAGCACCGGCACCATCAGCGGCAGCAGCAGCAAGACCAGCAGCAGGAGAAGCAGGGTTGCCATCAGCTGCAGGAACAGCAGCAGCAGCAGCAGCAGGTGCATCCGGAGTTGTCTCCCTCTTGCCCACCGGCTTGCCCCTTGGCGTGATTGCACTTCCCTCGTGCGTCTGCTCGCCTCCCTTCTCCCCTATCTGCAAGAGATCCGCCTGCCGTATGTGCCATGCAGTTCCAGCCCATGCGATGCCATGCCATGCCATGCCATGCGGCGCCAGGGAGAATCGGGCAATGAGTATGGGGGGAGCGGGATGCGGGACGAAACATATATCAGCATCCTGGTGACCCGATCGCACGCAAGTCAAGCGCATTGTCATTAACTAAACTCCTGACCTCAGGGGCGCAGCACACAACCAGACATGTAACACCCAAACAAAACCCGAAACCTTAAACCCTGAGCCTCTACTTATTGGACTAAAACCCGAGAATCATGGACGAACGAAAGGCTCCAAAAAGAACCAGCAATCCACAGGTACACCACATAATTCATCATGCATCATCAGGTACCTCCACGCAAAATAGATGATGACGAAGAAGAAAAAAACACTTTTTGCGTCACTGCAACGAGGCACGAAACAGAAAAGCGACACCAGTGCAACGCACCTTCGCAGCCATGCTTGGCTCCTGAGAACTCGCTCCCACCTCCGTGCTCCTGAGAGCTTCTGCGTCTACCACTTCCACCACATCCACCGCACTCGCAGTCACAACCACCGGCACGGGCACACGAACAGGCACAGGCAGCGGCATAGAAGCAGAGGGTTCCTTCTGAGGGTGTTGCAGAGTGGCTGCAGGGGCGACAGACGACACCGGTGCAGTAGTCGTATCTGCAGCTGTTGCATTCGCCGTGGTTCCCATAAGCTCTTGTGCTTCCACAGCAGTACTTAGTGCTGCTTCACCCGGCGCCGCTGGTGCTGCAACAGCTGCTGCTTCAAGTGCTGCTGCTTCAAGCGCTGCTGCTTCAAGCGCTGCTGCTTCAACTGGTGCTGTTTCAGGTGTCGCCGCCGCCGCCGCCGCTGCCTCAACTGGTTTATACTCAGCAGCAGCCGTCACAGAATCCTCCGCCGCTGCTCTGGCTGGACCAGGGGCCTTATCCTCTGTGCCACGTGCAGGCTTGTCAGCAACAGACAGGGACGCAGCATCCGAAGCCACGTCGGAGGAAACAACACCAGCAGAAGGCTGGTGAGGAGCAACCGTCGTGTCCTTCACAGTAGTGAAGGTGCCATCTGGTGCAATTGCAGCCAGGGTAGGTGCACCTGCAGCAGAATCTGCAGCAGCAGCAGCTTCCACGTCAGAGGTGTTCTCATTGGACGACGACTGCGCCACGTCAGCCGGGGCTGCAACTACTGCTGCTGGCTTGGCATCTGGAACGGCGACTGGAGTAATGCGAGGAGTAGTGGCTGGGGTAGCTACTGAGTTGGCAACTGCAGTGGTGGTGACGACGACAGTAGTGGCAGGGGGCTGATGCTGCACAGATGGCGCGAGGCGCGCTGGTGAAGGATAAGAGATGAAAAGAACGGAAAGAAAGATTAAAAAGGGCCTATTCGAGAGAGAGAAGAGAGAATTGAGACAGGGCGACAAGAGGACAATAGATGTGGGGGAAGGTGAACAGGCACGGAGAGATATGCGAAAGGTGAGGAGACAACAGGAAGGGATCGGGCTGGAAGCACAATGAAAGAGAGTCCAGCCAGACGTGAAGGGTTTAACGAAAAGAATGGGAAGAAGGGGAAGAAGGGGAAGAGAGGGATTACCCTGGCGCTTGAACCCTGTGAAGGCCATCGCTGCCACGCCCGCGCACACGATGAAGCCTGCTGCTAGGTCTGTCACTCCTGCACCGCACGTATGAAGCACCATGGACCATCCAGAATGGATATAAAAAGAAATGTTCGGCCATAAGGGGGTGGTGGAAGGGATTGAGGAAAAGCGCAAGCGGAGAGGGGGAAAGAAAGAGGGAGGGGGTATGGGAGGGAGCGAGGGATGGGTTGGAGAGAGTGGGCGAGAGTGTAGAGATTGAGAGAGCAGGAGAAGAAAGCACTTGTCATTCCTTTTTGTTCTCTTTTTTTTTTTTTTTTTTTTTTTTCCAAGTGCAACAACGGATTGCACGGAGGGACAGATGAGGAGAAGAGGGGTGTGCCAGGTCAACGCCGCTTGTCAGATCGTCTAGTGGACAATCGCACAACCGAATGCGCACAGAAAAGCAGACGACGGACGACGAGATGGTGGCATACGTGCAGTGCAGGCATCTGTTTCGCCTTCACATCATGCAGTAGCACGTGGCAACGAACCTATTCCAAGTCCGTTGGATCGATCTTGATCCTTGGGCTTCGCTGGGGAAACCCAATCGCTCGATCCCGCCGCGCGCTGCTTATCCTCGTTAGAAGAAGCAGCCCACGAATCCACGGGTCTCTCGCTCGAGACGTGCTTGCCGGATCCATTGGATGCGGCCACAAATCGACGGCTGCCGTTCGTCGCGCCAGCGTGGATACCCTCAGAACGCGAATCCAAACCCGGACGCGAGTCGGATCCCGAAGCTTCCGAACCGATCTGCGCCGCTTGAATGTCAACTGGCTCGCCCGACGCATCGGAAGCGTCGGATTCACTCCCAGCGTCATGCTGACGTGGCGACACGGGATGATCGCCGGTGGAGCGGGAGCCGCCCACATCCACGGCTACGCGCAGACAGCGGCGACTGATCGGATCAAGAAAAGGGGTGGTGGAGCGAAGGGAGTGGTGATGGGGCTGGATTCGAGGGCGGATCCATGACGCAGGTGCGGAGGGGGGAGGTACGCGGAGGAAGGCCGCGGAGGGTGACGTGGAGCTAAGAGCGGAGGAAGTGGAGCAAGTAGCCGAGGAAGGGAGGGCTGCCACTGATGCTGAATCGAGCAGCATGGTGAGGATGCGCGAGCTCTGCAAAATGAGTGGTTGTAGAGAACGGATTCGTAATAAAAAGGGGAAACAAAACGTCGGAGAATCCGAAGCTGAGCGTGCAAGAACGAGACAGGCCTGAAGCTAATCGCGGTAACCGGAGAGAATAGGAGGCGTACGAATGCAGAAGATGTGATGGGACTAGGAGGAATGACGCAGCTCGCGCTGGAGGGCTGAAGTAAAGAACGACGCCGTGTCGGGAGGAGGATTGAGCAAAATGCGCCCACAGCACGCTCCGCAAGAAAGGAAGCACGCTGTGATTCCTCCTGGCCTGCCAGCAGCGCGACCCACGACGAGCTGATTCATGTCTCGAACCATTTTGGTCCTTTCATGTGCGGATGAGTTGGCTCGCCATTGTTCGCGTCACCCAGCCCATGTCGCTGGCTGGCAGGCAGGCAAACCACTCTCAGCGGCACACATCACCGCATCCGCCAATTCCCAAGGCAACGCAAATTCGACGCAAAGCCCGTGAAGCTTGTGCTGCTGCTGCGCTGAATGGGCTGGAGATGGATGGGGTGAAATGAGATCGGATGCGCGCAGCCATCGCACCGCAGGAGGAAAACAATCGACGGCTGTGTTTCGAACCGCGTTGTTCCAGCGTGGATGTTTCCAAGTCGTTCACCGTTGCCAGTGTCGCCAATGTCGTCAATGCATGAGTTGTCAAGAATTGAGGGTCATTTCTCAAGTTTGTGGGTGTCGCCCATTGTGCATGGAAGCTCGAGAGCAAGGGGAAGTCATGCGATGCCACGTCATGGGATGGGCGCACATTGACCCCCAACGAGATTTGTTGGTCGTCTGCTACCTTCCAAAATTGCCCCCTCATCGCCAGCCATCTCCTCACAGTCAGGGCACTTTGCCCGGAGAGCTGGCCTTTCCAACGCCACGTCATCCCACATTTCTGGAAGAAGAATCTTCCACAAGCATTCTCGCTACAGAAGCACCTCTTTATGCACTGCGCTCTTTGGTACACAGCCTGTCGTTCTTACAATTTGTCTACTCTCATTTGTCCTAAGATTGTTAATTTCTGGGTGGATACCCTTGAATTAACAGTAACCCCTAGATTGCCTGATGAGCTATGTTTTCTTGGCCTTGTGGAAACCGGAAACAAGAATAATAAGGAAATACCTTGCTTTTGATAAGAACGCTCATTTACAGGTCAATCACAACCACTACAAACGTTCAACCACCCTAAGTTCAGGCACACTGCTAGCTAGACATTGTAGAGACCGCCTTCAGCAGGTACACTGAAGCCAGCCCAGACCATGTGATGTGAGGCACATGGCATATATTGGGACTGCAGCGAGCCAGAGAGCTGTATATACACTCATTAAAGATCAAAAACCCTGTAGACAATGCAGCTCTCTGTCTCAAGAGCCCCACCCTCTCCATCAGAAGGGGAGGTCGTTCTCTTCCACAAAACTCAGGGATCATCATCAGCAGCCGAAAGCGGAGAAACTGAGTCGATCCAGACCACACGATGCGCTGTTTCCTGACAGCAGATGATGCTACACGCGGATCATTCGCCATCGCACCCCATCCATCCGAAGCTACCGTTTCACATCCAAAGTCGCGGCCAAGCCCATCGGAACCCAGGCACTTGAGCAAGGGCGTCTGCCTCCCGTTTCCGCGGAGCCGGATTGCCTTGCAATAATTACACTCGCCGCGTTCAATGCCCATGGTTCGAGAGCCTCGCCAAATCCTCTCCTTCCTTCACGCGAAGCCGCCCTGCGCGTCTAGAACACTCGCCGCTCCAGCACGATCGGCGGAACGGCCTTGTTCCGGCGCGACGAGCCACACTTCGGGCACTGAGCGGGGGAGAGAGAGAGAGCAGGCGAACAGGGAGAAACGGCGAGTTGGCACGAGCACGCGGACAGAACCAATCCTAAGTTTTCGAATCTACTAGACTGTGAAGAGAACGCCACAAAATATGCGAGGCCACCATCCCAAAATCCCCTAGACGAGATCAGTCTGCCAGACAGAGTGTCTGCGGAACGCACCTTGGCGCAGCCCTCCCCAACGCACGCGGGGCACGGGTCCTTGCGATCGTACTTGCCCTCCCAGCGGATGGCGCCCGTTCCGCCGCAGAGGCTGCAGCAGCACAGCCCGTACCCGCCGCACTCGTCGCACTCCTCGCCCTCGCTGCCGCCGTCGTACTCTAGGTGGTGCTGGTGGTCGTGCGACCTGATCATTGTCACGATGCCTGCAACGGCCAATGCGACGGCCATGACGACGCCGCCCTTGCCTGCAGGATCGTCGCACACACAAAACGCAGTCGCAGAACATAAAGACGTCGTCAGAGGAAAGAAGAAGACAAGTAGAGGAGGAAAAAAAAACACCCAGAAAGAAAACCAAACCGAGAGCGAAAAGGGCGATGAGGGCGGAACAGAACGCACTTCGGAGCAGCATCGAGGGGCGGAGGCGAGCGGCGGACATGGCGGACACGCCCACGGATGCGACGGTACGAGTCGCGGAGCGGGACAGGAGCGCCTGCGACAGAGACGCCGACGCCGCGAGGCCGCTGACCTCCGACGAGACAACGGCGACGCCGGCACTATGCACGGACTCTGCAGGGAGGGCACCGACGGGACGACAGTGACGGCGAATCATGAGGCCCACGTGGGATGCGTAAGAGGGGAGTGGATGGAAGCGTTAAGCATGGGAGGAAGAAGAAGCGGTTTCACAGCCGAAACATAGTCAGATCGGCCTGAAATGTGTCGGAAAATAAAATAAATGTACAAGACCAGTCGGTCTCGTGCCTCACCTGCTGCCTCCGTCTCGACTGGCGTAGCTAGCTGTGCGCCGGGCTGGCTCTCCGCCTGACGCTGCCAGCTAGCGGCGAAATGGCGGTGGCTGTAATGCTCGTGAGCGGCTTCGTCGATGGAAGCGGCGCAGCGAACGCACGAACCCCGCGAGTTATCATGGACTTTTTCGTGGCGGTGGTTACTCGCGGAAAAGGCGAGATCTGAGAGGCTGCGACGAGACGTCCCACCAAACGAGTACCCCGATCCCAGAAACCGATGGGTACTGCTGCTGCTGCTACTACTGTTAGAAGTTACGCTGACGCCAGCGGCGGTGCTGCTGGTGGCTACACTGAAGCTACGCCGCCGATGACTGAAACCGGAGCTACCGCTGGGAGTGCCACATCTGCACGCCGTGTTCCTCCCGCTGTAAAAGATGGACAGGCATGGGAAACAAGCAGGAACGCACGGTAGAACGGTAAGGGTTAGAATGGTAAGGGTTAGAATATCTGGCCTCCTTCCTACTCCTCGGAGGTAGGATTGTTATGGCCTTGCATTTTGCCGCGTTCCTGTGATCCGTAAGAAAAATGCTCAGCGATAACCAAACAAATTTGAAGAAAGGGGAAAAAAAAATCGAAAGGAGTGAGAGAGGAGCAGAAATATCTAAGCAAAGACGGAGGGGGAGTCTATTGGGTTTCTGACGCATACCTATCAAGACGGAACGTGGAGGAGTTTCCGATGCTAGACGAGCGCTGGAGGACGATAGATGGCGCCATAAAGGTATATCTGACACGTTCAAGGGTAGCTCGGCAGAGTTTGCTACGCCGGGGGGACGCTTCAGTCCGATGGTATGGGGGGAACGAAGCAAACTCTACAAGAATGTTACGGGTATCAATGTCCCTGACCTGAATGCTCAGGAAGTCAGGGCTTTATGGGGGGGCACAGCAGTATTTGTAACAGCGGAAGTCTGACGTAGTTGCACACAGCTAGTAGAAGGAAATTGGCAGGATGATGATTACGAAGCTGGGCCAATGGGGCACGTCACAGGACGGATTAGCGGTGCGAACGAAGCGCAGCCCACTCGTGGGAGGGTTTTGCCATCGCCATGCCTGACAGCAGGGCATGGCAAGATGACACACCTGGGTAGCGACGATTTTGGGCCTGCAAACGGATTGCGGGCTGACGTGCTTGGCTGCGCGAGCTCGCGGTTCCACCGACGATCATTTTCATGGCTGTCAATTGACGGACAGTCTAGCTAGTTTCAGGGCTTTTCGGGTGCAATCCTGGGTTTGTTATCGTGCCTGGAATACCTTCCGCTCCGAGGGTGCTATGCATTTCCCTTCTTTCCTTTTCCATACAGTGCCTCCCACTGAATTCCCAGCCCCGTCTGCACATTCACACTTGAAACCGAAAACGAAACGATTTCCCCACTAGGCTGCTCAAAACGATCAGGGGAAACCCACACCCTAACATGGTGTCCTTCTAATGCCTGCCCGTTTTCCTGATTTGTGACCATATAGATAATAGGCAGGTCCAAACGGGCAGCAGAGGAGGGGCTGTGGTTGGTCCTTCCATCCAGCCCCAGGGCCTGAACAGCGAATCTGGAACCTTCCCGCGATAACATTCACCATCGACCTCCAAGTTGACGTGGACAGAGTGACTGGTGTGGGCCGCTCCAGCATGACGTTGCACGAACAGATTTGTTTGGCTAGGACGATTTCTGTCGAGGCGCGAAACTGGAAATTAGCACGAATGGAGTGGCTCAGGGCGTCAGGAAAGCTGATATTTGATCCGTCGGCCGCAACTTCTATGGTCCAGCAGTAAAAGGGACAGCAACACGGACCAATAGCAGTGGCGAAATCATCGAATCGCTTGATTTTTAGCCACATCGTTCCGGGCTTCTTGGAAAGAGGAAGCTTCGCATGGTAATGAATCGCAAACACGTGTTCTAGATGGTGGAGAGGAGAGGAGAGGAGAGGAGAGGAGGAGAACAGTCAATACGAGATCCATGAATTTACCCAGCGACTTTACAGCATTTGCAAGCGCAACTGCCCCAAGCCAGCCGACCACGGGTTGAAAGGCGGCTTGGTAGGGTGAAAGAATGTGCCACTGTGGTCAAGTGCGGTGTGTTCCGGCTCATCATACCTCCACCACGCAAACAAAACCTCAAGACCATGAATTTAGTGGTTGCATGAGGTAGGAGTGTAGATATCTTAAAACCCTATTCTCATAGTTCCAACTGACCAAAAGTATTCTCCTAGGTTGGCGGGCCTGATTGGTGGAGGAGGAGCAAAATATAGGAGTAGTTACGAGGGTTACGAATGCTCGAAAATCGTCAAAGATCCACTTTGGGAAGATTCCGTATTTCGTATTTCTGGGGACCCGTATTATTATGGTTGGTTTTGACCCAAGAAACTTCTAGAGCGTGGACGACGGGTTTAGGGTGTCTCATTTTTTTTACAATCGGTTACGACATCAGGGTTGAACTTTGGGCCCAATTTTGTTATGTGTTGTCACAGCCGCTAACAACTCTTAGACTAGCGGAATGAACTACTAACAATGGTACAGGGTGGTTTTGACCAAATTAGCTATACTCTCGAAGGCATGCCCCTATCTAGGCTATAGTAACATATACAAATATGTTTGACACACCCCCTAGACTGGACAACAGACAGTGCCTGGCAAGAGACAAGCAACTCAAGGCGGCACTACTAGTCCAACCTCTGAAACAAGGGTCCGAAGACCAGTTAACGAAGAGTACAAACTCGACAAGAGCAAACCAGGGCGGCACTACTAGTACGGCCATTGGAAGAGAAGTTAAAAGGCCAGTCAAGAAGGCATATATGAAGAGTAGTACACAATCAAGGTCATAGCAAGTGAGGAGCTACATGAACTAGACCAAGCTGCAAAACAGTGTCGCTGATGATCTTTAGGCGGAAGCGCCTTAGTAAAGATATTAGCTGTGTTGGCACCAGAGGCCAAGTGTAATACGCGGGCCTGGCGGTGCTGCTATAACCCACGCACCTGGATGTGCTTCGCTCTGCCCTTGAGCCGAGACTCCTGACACACGAGCATCATGGCCCTGTTGTCAGCGTACAAGACCGAGGTAGAGCTAGGCCGCTCACCTAAGTCTGTAAGCAAGAACGTCATCCGGCGGAGCTCCTGTGCCGCCATGGCACCGGCGTAGATCTCAGCCTCACAGCTAGACTGGGCAACAGATGAGGAGCGAGTGGACCTCAACGAGATGGCACATGCACCAAGGTTAAAGCAATAGCCCTAGAAAGTCCTGAGAGTCTCAGCGTCGTCTGCCCACGAAGCGTCTGTGTGCCCTGTAAGGACCACTGCCCTGCGTCCTCCTTGAACAAGTCCCATGCCTGATATACTTGCTAGATAATGCAAAACCCTCTTAGCTGCCGACCAGTGCTATGGTCGGTGTCTCCATGTGGCCACAAAGCGAGCCATGATGCTGAGAGGGTATGCGAAATCTGGACGAGTGCATGTTATCAGGTACATGAGGCAACACACAAGCTCAGCGTAAGGACCACTAGGCTCTACAGACTCCTCAAGAACTGGAGCAGAGAGTCTGTAGTTTACTAGCAGAGGTGTGGGCTGTGCAGAGGAAAACTGAAGACCGAACCTCTGAAGGACCTGGCGCACCAGGTGTGACTGTGTGAGAGCGATGGTACGTGTTCCTCTGTCCGTAAAGATCTGCAGACCAAGGTAGCAGTGCAGCTCTCCTAGGGCAGTGCAGGTGTGTTTCCTCAGCAGCTCAGCCTTCTCGGAGGCGAGTGCGTCTCTGTCTGCAGTAGTGAAGACTAGGTCGTCTACGTAGACAAGGATGTAGAACGGGGTCTGGTCGGAAGGAACAAAGAGCGAGGGGTCTGAAGACGATGGGAAGAACTGCAGGTCAGCTAGCGTAGCACGCAGTATGTTGTGCCACTCACGGGGCGCCTGCCGCAGGCCGTAGATCGGGCGTCAGAGGAACCACATGGTTCTAGGAGGGAAGGTACTGGTGAAGCCCTGCGGACGGCGCAGGTAGACCTGCTCGTGTAGACTTCCCTAGAGAAACTCTATGGAGAAGTCGAGGGAGTGTAGCTCATAATCACTCAGTGCTGCTATGTGTAGCAGCACCCGAAGAGTAGTCATCCTCGGGGTCTGGGCGAAGGTCTGAAAGAAGTCAACACGCTTGCGATGACTAAAGCCTCTAGCCACGTAGAGGGACGACAAGACCAGATGTGGGATTGAGGCGTGGGGTCAAGACACACAGGAGGAGTCACAAGAGGAGAACGAGGGGGTAGACGAGCCGGTGACGAGTCCGGCAGAGGAAACATAGAGCCGTAGACAGGCAGGGAAGGCGGTGGCGGGGGAGGCGCAGGTGGGTGGTCAGGGGAGCGAAGGCCGAGTAGTTGAAGGGCGGACACCGGTGGCGACTGCTGCTGCTGCTGCTGCTCCACGACCACACCATAACCTCCAGCTGCAGCACGGCTACCTCCAAAACGCTCTACTCTAGCACCCCCAGAACGAGAACCCTCTCCAGCTCCGGTGCCACCCACGAGACCACTAGGATAAGCCATGATAGTAACGCCAGGACTAGCACTCCCCGAACCAGCATCCCAAGAATGAGAACTCTCTCGAGCACTGGTGCCACCCCCAGAACCGCCGAGTTGAGCCACGACAGGAACTCGAGGACTAGCACCCTCCACAACACCCGCATCCCAAGAGCCCATGGACGGCTGCTGCTGCCGCGGCGACTACACCGGCTGCTGCTGCGGCTGCAACGGCGGAGGAGGATACACCGGGGGAGGAACAGGTGGCGAGAACTACACTGCATGGCCACTTTAGTAAGCCGACTCCTTGACCAGGACAACCGATGGGAGGGGAGTGACGTGAGCCACACCAGACGGAGCAGGATGGGGAGGGAGGGGAGCAGGGGCTACCAGTGTGGTGGATAACAGAATTAGGGGCGGGGAAACCGGGAGACCTCGATGAGGAAAGCCGTGATAGAAGGAGACAGACTTGTTGAAAGTGACGTCACTCGAGTGATAGAAGCGGTGAGACGGCGGGTGGTAAAAGCGCTAGTCATACCAGTTAAGGAGGACACCAAGGAAGACACAGGGGATAATGCGAGCAGTGAGCTTGTCCATGCCAGAGGCACGAATGTGAACACGGCAACCTTATATGTGGAACGCGGATGCGTCACTAGGTAACCCGTTACAGAAAATGGTCGGCGAACATTGCGGCCGCTGGGAGTGCGACCACATGTTAAGTTGGTGAGCGGTGTAGCGAACTGCGAACGGCCACAGAAAATGGGGTGCACTAGTATGGATCATGGAGGTACGAGCCAACTCCATGACCAAACCGATGCATCGCTCAGTGACCCCATTCCGTTGCGGGGAGTCCGGAAGGGTGTACGACTGGGTGATGCCCTCCGCGTAACAGAACTGTCCAAGCCGGTTAGAGGCGAACTCGTCGCCACGGTCAGAGTGGAGACACAGCATTGGGAGACCGCAGTGGAGGCGAATAGCTACGACCCGCGGGATAAGAACGTTAGGCACGTCGGCCTTCCACTCCAGGGGAAACACCGTGGTGTAGCGCATGTAGCCGTCGACAAGCACTAGAAAGTAGTGCTCTCGACGCGACCCATGGACGGGGGCTGTGCCCCAGACATATAAGTGCAGGGAAGGGTAGTGGAGCTACGGGCAACGACAAGACCGGAGGAGAGGTCACCAAGCGCGACAGCGGCAGACGCATTAAGCTGCATACGTCAAGCGTAAAGGAGAGCGAAGCGGTAGCTGCGGCCGGCGGAGGAGCGAGCTTGGAGCCGAGACTAAACAAGGCAGAAAGTCCTACGCCTGACGCAGCAGGGGAGTCTGTACTACACACAAGAGGCACCTAAACTAGGCAAGACAGG